CACTATCTCTCCCCACCTATCTACTTAATCTATCATCTATCTATCTATCTATCTATCTATCTATCTATCTATCTATCTATCTATCTATCTATCTATCTATCTATCTCTAGTTCTCTCTCTCTCTCTCTATCCCTTTATTTACCTACCTATCTACTCTCTCTACCTACCTACCTACCTACCTACCTACCTACCTACTGTATTTCTATTTCTTTCTCTCCCTTTCTATCCCTCTCTCTACCTACCTACTTTTTTTTTAAATTTGCCTCTTCAAAACCTTGGTGCGTCTTATACTCCGAAAAATATGGTAAGTTTTAATTTAGCAAACATTACTTCTTTAACTTTATTTTCCAAAAATTTTCTTTAGAATTTTTATTCTTTTATTCTTTATTTTATTCTTTTCCATGAAACATGTAATAATTACAAGCATTCTTAACAGCATTTCTAAAAATACATTCACCAAATTTTTAAAATTTTTTCACAATCATGTTTTATTTATTTTTAATAAGGTGAATTCTTTTCTTATAATAATTGATAGTGTTACTGGAACATGATCAGATATTGCAGGAGAACTTACACTGCATTTATCTGTCAAATCAATTAAAGGTTGAAGTATTAAAAATTAATCCCACTGGAAACAAGTCCAACGTATTTTAAAAATAACAAACCTTCTTATTTAGTGAATATACCTGAGCCCCTCATGAAAAGACGCCTTGGTTTAATAGGCACAATAAGAATAACTAAGTTAAATAATTGGGTCTCTTGGCGGCGTGCAGGTGGATTTTTTTCTTCATCACTTCATACACTTGAACGATATATTATTTGCTCAAAGCAAAAAGAGAGGGAGAAATAGCCTTTCAGTTACTATTAAAAACTGATTGGCTAAAATCATGAAAGTATGAACCTTGTGCTAGAGAACAACTTAATTCAGTCATTGGAGTAGAACAACAGCAATTATTCATCAAGGCCTACAGACCAAAGTCAGAGCACTCTTAGATCACGAGGTGATATTAGCAGCATTTATCAAATCTATCTACAGCAACCACAAGGGAATTCACAGCTGTTTTGGGAAATTAAGGTTTAAACCTTTCAAAATATTCAAGAAATCTTGCAAAAAGTATTCATAGACAGTTAAAATAATGGGACCTGCATAATTCACAGATATTGGCCGGTACATTTTTGTTCACAAAGCAACAGGGAAAATATCCAATGACAAGATTTGCAGGCTTTGTATCAGCTTGATGGTGATGATGATAATACACTGATTGAATATGAAATAGAAAAATAATTATGCTTTCTATTATAAGTGATGAAGAACAAGGTGTTATTTCCATCCTCTGCATGGTATGACTGATGTATAATAAAGTGCTTAACTTGGAAAATTCAGCACTTACAGAAGGAATGAGAAATATTTTAAAATTTAAAGTTTGACTGTTTCTTATTCACCGTTTCTAGAATTTCAATA